AACGCTGCACTTTCCGATCGTTAACCGTATTCTCCCCAAACGCTTGGTTTATGTTGCGTGCAGCTTTTGCAGCACTATTACCAAGTTTGTACTCATATAAGAAAATGACGCGAATGTCGGCAGAATTCATATCRGCAATAAACTCAAAAGAAATAACAAAAGGGAAGACCTTCGAGAAAACCTATTTTGCTGAAATGAGTCTCTGGCAATGAATAATACGACTATGAATGAGGTTATGCCAAAGACAAAAGTATAACGAAAACAGGGAGACAAACGTCCGCATGTAAAGAGAATCCGACATTTCATACGCACCAACCTAATATTATTAGGCGTTTAATAATAAAAACAATAATAATAATAATAATTTATAAACTCCCTATTTAATTAATTAAATTTTATGTACAAAGATATTTTTTAAACTTAAACAATACTTTATATTTTTAATAGAATGTAATTTTATTTTTTATTTAATTTTATCGTAATTATTTAATTTGATTTAATTTATTATTATATGAGATTGATAAATGTAATTAATAAACTAAATAAGTCGTTGCTAACGTTACGCCATACACAAAAAAGTTGCCGCATGTTCATAAAAGTTGAAGCATGCGTAATATTTTCTTTTGGTTGGTACAATTTCATATAATCCGCTGTTGTAGTTGTAACTCGCGGCTCTTCTCCTTTACCCACACGCTTTACTTCGTATCAGTGGTTTCCGATGACACGTGTAATTTTTATATGGTTATAAAAATGTGGCGACAATCTTTATAGTTGGAACAAATTGCGTTCTTTTAATAAAAACAACGTCGCCTTCTTTGTAAGGTATTGCCTCCTTACATCGTTTATTATACTGTCGTCGATTTTCTTCCTGTATCGACAAAAGGTTTTCTTTCGCCAATGCCCTAATTTTATCGCGTTCTTCTTTAAACATTTAAATTGCTTCTTCCTCGATAGCTGTTTTAATGGCAATGTCCTCTTTCTGTTTCATCTTTACTCTAAAAAGGACTTAAATGGACTACTGCCTATGCTACGTTAGTATGTGCTGTTTAAATAGAGTTGTACTTTATCTACGTGTCGATACCACTGTTTCGGATTATCCAGCGACAACTTCGTCAACATCAGTATTAGGGTTCGGATAATCCTTCCTACTTGACCATAGCTTTCTTTCCTTTTGATATTTGGTCCCAAACTCCTCTGCACATTGAAATAAAAATTCTTGTCTTGATATTTCTTCACCCGTTGTTTTTTATTTATATAAAATCTGATCATTTATCCCGCCTTAGTCAAAGATATCGAAAAATACCTGTAAAGGCCATCTTTAGCATTTAAATTTTAGACTATATTTTCTGACCATTTGATCGGTTACATCTACACCGAATTTTGTACTGTTGTAAAATTTAATAATTTTCTCTGGTATACAGGTTTCACCTTTTTCAATTTCGACGGATGAATTCATTGAACTAAGTGTATATACTTTTTTATTTGGTTAGGTTTATAAATTGAAATCTTTCTTTTTTTTTTTTATCTTTTGAACACACAAAACATCTTCGCCTTGATTTTGAAGATAATCCTTTTGGAGTTGAACATTTCGATATATGTAGAATGCCTTTCCGTTAGCCGAAATGGTAAATTGTCAGTATTATCTTTTGTTATAACTGTCTGATTTTACCATAACTTGTGGGTATTTTTGTAGCATTTCTTTTGCATATAAAAGATAAAATTTGCTGAATTTTTCTTTTTTTCCATTAATTTGTTTCTAAATAATGTGAGTGTTACATAATGCAAGATCAAGAAAATGAAAAAAATATTATTTGCACCACTTAGTGAATTTTTTCAGGCAATGCAATGAACTTAAAATCATGTCAACTTTGTCAACAGCACCTATATTATTATTATAGTCAATAATGCAGGTTGTTTTTTTTAGGTAATTCCGTGCGATAATCTACTCGTCGACTTTCGGTTATTTCAGCATTGTGGGCTATCAATAACATTCACGCCTCTTTTTCGTCTCGCCATTGCATTGTCAGTGAATTATTTGTAGATTGATATTCGATTTCTCGATTTCCAGATTTCCAAAGCACCAAATTTTTTTTTTTATATCAGTATCTCGACGAGCATGTATGATAAAATGTAAAGTATATTCGGTCTTGCAATCACATAAAACAAATGATTTTACTCCAAATCGACTTCTTTTAGAAGGAATGTACTATTAGAAGTAACATCTTTCTTTGTAGAATAAATAGTCTTTCATCAATACAGAGATTTTGAAATAGATAAAAAGATCTAGCGAAATTTGACTTTAGAATGTAGATTACAGGCCGTAGTTTTGTTAACGGATCATTAGGGTCTTGTGCATTAATATCATTAAAATAAATGTTATTTGTTAATTTTTCCCATTTAAATTGAGAAAAATTGCAGTGGGTTCGGCAAGGTTTTTATATTATATTATTTAAACACAATGTTTCAATATTACTTTATTCATACTCTACAAATGATATAACATTTATACTTAATAATGGAACTTTCTCTTAATACGTCCGCGCTTATTGATTGATCTTTTTCGACTAAACTATATCCCCGGATACGCTTCATATCCCTCTTTTGTTTTAACCTATTAGTCATCACTAGTCTTTGTTCGCGCATATTTGAATCTTACATTAAGAGTAGATGAAATTGTGGATTACTTTCTATTCTTTTTTAACAGTAAAGCAGCATTTTAAAAGTCTTGGAGTCTCCGTTGCCAATATAAAAACCATACCGCTCAGCAAATTTCTCGATTGAACAAGATAAGAGTCGGCCGTGAGCGCCGAACGCTCAAAAGAGCGGTTCGAGGTAGTAACGTTCAGGCAGCAAAAAAATGTAGTTAGAGACATCGAATCTTTTTGAAATTTTAACACAATATTTCTACATATATATACACATTCAAAAAATGTAAAAAAAAAGATTAGATTTTTTCAAAATTGCAGAGTGGAACTCCTTAAAAGGAGTCATACCTGTACTCCTGTTCGATGTCGCATTTAAGAATCTTTGGCATCGATCAAGATTTTTGTACCAGTCTCCTGGATATGGAGCTGCTAGTTTCGTTAGAACCGGTATTAGAACTCAGTTAACTCTGTCTACCTGCTCATTACTCCGCGGCATCCCTGTCGTAATGGTTATTTGCTCTATCCCCTCCTCCCTACAATAGGCCTGGAATTCGTTGGCTGTGAATGCCGTGCCGCGATCAGATATTATCCGACGAGGAGTTCCGAAAACTACCGATTGCTTTCTAAGTTTAAGTATGACCTCGGCACTCGTAGTGCTTCTGGTGGCGTACAGTCACACATACTTCGCGAACGCATCCACCACCATCAGAATGTGCTTATAGCTCTTTTTGGTGGAGACCAATGGTCCCAAATGGTCGATATGGTATGCATCTAGAGGAGTTTCCCCTTTCTCTATCGAATGCAAAAAACCCTCTCCTTTACCACTCTTTTGCTTCGCCAGAATGCAACTAATGCAATTCCCGATTACTTTTTTCACCCTAGCTCTCATATTTGCGAGCCAATAGTCCCGTCTTATTAAGGCCTCCGTCTTTCCGGCCGCAAAATGCCCAATTTCATGAGCTTTCCGGATTACGCTATTTTGCATTAAGGGAGGCACAACTAATTTATAATCGTTGTCAATAGCTTTGAACAAAAGACCCCCTCGCACACAATAACCGTCAACTGGCTAAACCCGAACTGATTCCAACAATTTACTGATACTCTCATCCGCCGCTTGCGCTTCCCTCAAACGTGCACTAACACTGTCCTCATCCTCTTTTAACACCATACATTCGGGAAGTGGACACCGACTCAGCGCGTCCACATGCCTCATGCTAATCCCCGATCGGTGTTCGATTGTATAATCGAACTCCTCAAGCAACAATGCCCACCTCGCTACGCGAACACATAAATCTTCTTTTCTCATGTTCAAAGCAAACGCACGACAGTCAGTTACAATCTTGAAAGGTATGCCGAGTAAATATACTCGGAACCTGCGAAGCGACCTAATTATAGCCAAACACTCCAGCTCGTAACTAGCATATTTTTCCTCCGCCGGACTCGTCTTTCCGYTCGCATAGTATACAGGGTGTAAAACACCATCGTCACTGCCCCGTTGCAGCAGTATGCTCCCGAACCCGAACTTTGACGCATCAGTATGGAGTTCCGTTTCCGTACCTACTCTATATAACCTCAAAACTGGCTTGTCCGTCAGTAATCTCCTTCAGTCTTTTAACCGCCTGCACCTGCTCATCATCAAACCGAAACTCTTGGTTGCCTTTGAGTAAGTTCGTGAGTGGCCTGGCGATCAACGAATAATGGTCGACAAATTTTCTAAAATAACCCGTAAATCCCAAAAAACATTGGACTTCCCTTACGGTTGTTGGCATTAGAAATTTAAGCACTGCATCGGTCTTGTGGTCGGACGGCCATATTGTATGATTTTCGATCACATGCCCCAGAAACTGTACTCTATTTTTTAACAACTGACATTTCTTCCAGTTGATCACCAGGCTAGCCTCGCTTGCAACCTTCAAAACCAGTTCTAAATTTTTAATGCCAGATTCCGCGTCTAACTTTGGGATTATTACATCGTCTAGATATGTTAGTATTATTTTCTCGTTAATCAATTCTCTAAAAACGGAGTTCACGAATTTTTGAAAAACCGCCGGTGAATTACATTAGCCAAAAGGTACCTTCAAAAATTCATACTGTCCATCTGGCACAATGAATGACGTATATTTTCGACTTTCGAGTTTTATTGCGAGGTGAAAAAATCCATTCTTTAGATCGATCGTGCTGTACACATTCACCCCCTTTAACGCATCCAACTGATCATCTATCAACGGCAACGGATACCGGTCTTCAAAAGTCTTTTTGTTAAGCTGTCTATAATCTACGCCCAATCGTGTTGAATCGTCCTTTTTCCGCACTACGACGACCGGACTTGCGTAATCCGAAAGTGACCGCTGTGCAATACCGTCACGTAACCATTCTTGTATATGTTTATTCACCTCGTCACGCTCTGCCATTGACAGACGCCTTGCTCGCTGGTAAACAGGATTTTCGTCTGTTAAAATGATCGTCATCTCCACCCCCACTTCCCGTTTTTTCTCCGGCCTATAGTTTTCTACCAACGAAATCACGTTTTCTTTTATTTTTGATGCTTTTAAATGAGTTAAATCCACCCGTCCCTTCAAAACACAAACGTTTATATTAAATACGTCTGGCGACTCGCTTTCCGTTGGCTGTGCTTTGTCCGAACGCTGGATCTCTATGTGCTCGGACTCTATTAACAATTTCACGTTGTCGAGGAAATTTTTTCCTAAGATGAGGTCATGGCGCATACACGAATTAGGAACTAAATGTATTTTGGTTTCATACTCTTCTCCGTCAACCCCGATAGCAGCTGTAAAATGACCCAGTGTCCTAATCAACTCCGAATCCAAACCTCTGAAAAAGACCCATTCGTTTTCCACTCGCGGCGCTCCTATTTCAGCGAAGGCGCTTTCTCTTATTAGCGTAATTTCACTGCCCGTATCTACTAACGCAGAAATCTTTACATTATTTAACGTAACAGTTTTCTTTAAAGATTTCTTGACCGCTGTTGAACCTTCATCGACCCTCACAACCGTCACCGCTGGCGCCTTTTTGGGACATCCGGCTAAGATGTGACTGAACTCTTAGCAGTTAAAACATTTCATACCCCTCTCCCTCGATGGGCAAAATGCCGCTCGGTGTCCCCTCGCTCCGCAGTTATGACAACCTTCGTGGATCCGCTGTTGACCAGCTGATCCCTGTTGCTTTACCACACTCGTTCCCATTGGCCTTCGCCCTGCTGCCCACTCCCCTCCTCTTTCCGGCTTACTCCGTTCACGGTTCGTCTCGAACCCAATTGGCAAATGCACCTTCTCAAACGAAGTGAAAAATTCAGATTTATCCCGGAAACTCCTGATCCTCTCTGTGTTCTGCAGAACCAAGTCTACAATTCCCTCGATCAAATGTTCAATTAGCTCTTCTTCACCAGCAGACACGCGGTTCCCCAGGATCACTTTATTATGATAGTATTCACTGAAACGCTCACTGCACTTCCACTGCCGCTGCAGAAACTCTCTTTTCCTATCCGCCCAAGAAGGGAGATGACGAAACATTTTCCTTGTTTGATCAAGCAAGTCCCCATTCGACATATCCGAATACTCCGCTTTTGAGTGAAACCACTCCGCCGCTTTCCCCTTTAATCGTAATCTAAATAGCACCGTCGCTTCTCCGTCTGACAGACCGTGTATCCTTTTCAAGGCAAGAAACTGCTGTTCCCAGTGATCATAAGGTGACTCGCCGTCGTAATAGTTTAACATCTCCGCAATCGCCATCAAGCCTATTCGCGATCGGCTCTCTTCTTCGTGAAACATCGTGCAAGAATCATGTCTTCCCAAAACTCTCCTTTCAGCTGGAGCTGATACCAATTGCTGGGAGATCTCCTCCATCCTTCGCTGCAACTGTCTTATCTCAAGATGGAGCGAATTGTCTCGTTCCTCGGCGCTCGTGGTTACATCACGAGGAACAGCTCCATAATTTTGATCCCTTCCTGTGACCTCCGCACATGCTTCATCTTGTAACTCCTCTCCGGAATTTCTTGCCACTTGCACACCGCCTAATTTGAAATTCATCAGTCTTGATAACAATTCAGCTTTCGTTCCAGTAGAGGGTAGATTAAGCTCCTGTAGCCGCTCCTTGAGCTGTGTCACTGTCAAATCGTCGTACAAACTGGTATTCATTCTTCACAAACTTTCTCCTCACAGTCCACCACTACTTCAGCACCTTTTCTTATCTCGCAGTACCGGACTTTTGATATTCAGATCCCGGCTGAGCCCCCAATTTGTAGGGAAAACACTTATGTGCATCCTGTAAAGGATATCTGAATTCCATGAGAAGCCGGTACCATACAAAAGATTAAGAAATGAACACTTTAATCAACAGATAACAAAACGTTTACAAAAATGAACACACTAAAGTAAAAGAAACGTACTTCACCACTTCCCGAAAACACTCTCGCTCAAACCAGTTCGTAAACGCCCGTTAATTAATCGCTCTTTCCTCGCACTCAATGACACCTCTGCACGCACGTATCGTTCTCGCTTTTTCTAACTCACGTTCCCTTGTTCCCCCTTTATATATCAAAACCTTCTTGTTTACGCTGCTAAGCAATTCTCCCGTGGCAACATCTCGCCAGGCAACAAGTTTGCCTCAATTTACGCTGCTAGGAAACGCTCTCTCATAGCTACAACTCAACATACTACGAACTTGCCTCCTGTTTACGCTACCAGGCAACGTACCCTTGTAGCTTCTTCATGCCGCACATGCACTCACACATACAACTAACGCTCCTACTTCCACAATAGTTTTATCAAATAGCGGGCATAATGCTGACTGATTTAGCGCTGACGCTGACGCGAATGATTCAAGAATTCTTTTAATAATAGAATGTTAGCTTCATCGGCGACAATAGTGTTATAAATAAACGTTTATGTGAAACACATACGCGTTTCTCGGCTCTATTAACTGTTTTCGCGAAACGCATGTATAAGTTCTTTGGCTAATTTGATAAATATGTGGCGTTATTTCGCAAAGAGTTAATGTTAATGTTATAAAATAGTGTGCAACTAGAGCGATAAGCTGCTGTCGATTTCCCACGAGAGCAAAGTTGAGCGCACGAGCGAAGCGAGTGCGCTCATTCGCTCGAGTAGGCAATCGAAAACATCGCACGAGTTGCAGATACTATTTTTTACTAGAAATGCGACGCCATACTGTCACGCAAATTTTGTGTCCAGGTGCGAAGCCACGGTGGGGGATGGGGTGCCGAAGCCTCCCTAGACCAAAACCAAAGAACTGAAAATTCAGAAAAATTAATTATGATTTATTTTCACACTTTGGTTACACATGTAATGAAATAAATTATTTGTTTTTGTTCATATAAATTGTTAAATTTTTACAATTTGAAAATGATATATTAATATTTTTGGAATCTTCTGATGAAAACGTATCTAAAATGTCAAAATCAATATTTTCTTTATTTTTGACAATAATGTCGATAGGCACTTCAACTGTTTGTTGTTTTCGTAACTTTATTAATGTGGTGCTGCTAAACTCGTTAAGTAGACGGTCTGGCTGATATCTTGTTTGCAATTTGTTGACCAATTCTTTTTTTATTACCTATGGAATCTTCAACATATCCTTTAGCCACTGAACTAGATTTTCATCCCCCGTGTCTCTTGATAGTAAGAAAATCAGCAGCTGAGTCAGCCAACAAAGTAGCTGAAGTTCTTCTAAATGAATGTCCAAGTTAGGATTCTGGATTAGCGGGGGCTAAGATACTGCTTATCCCGCATGAGTAATAAAAAATGTATAGTGAAGAGCATTACATATCGGTCTCAAAACTAATGTTGTTTTTAAACAGTCTGTATCTCACAGCTTATTGAACAGAAATGCTTCTCGTTTAATCTCGCCATAGCTAAGAGGCTCACGTCATTTTCACATAAGGGTAATGCGGATGAGATACACGCATGAAGTATTACGAATTGCATACGGCTGCTTTCACATAAGGATCTATTTATGGTATTCCTATTTAATGTACAGGGTGGGTCACTACAATTTACCATCTAGATTTACGTTATTATTATTACGCGTAGCAGACAATGTTTCACATGGGGTTGAATGGCTTTAAAAGGGGTTCATACTGATGGTACGTTTTTTTTTTGTAGGTGGACGTGTAAAGGACATATGAAGGTCATTAATATTTTTTTTAACGAAATCATACATTTTTTATTGCATTATTTGATGCTCTTTCATATTATTTACAAAAAAGTATTAACCTATTTATGTAAAAAAATTATTACTTTAGGAGATATTTTATTTTTATATCTATTTACAAAAAATGTTCAATGTTGCGACCATTTGCATCAGAACATTTTTTGAATCGAGAAATTAATGACTCATTAACGTTTCTTAATGTATCTGATGTTATTTTCTTGCATTCATTGACGATACGATCCCTCATATCGGCCATTGTAGTCGGAGGCTTAGCGTAAACTTTATTTTTTAAGTAGCCTCATAAGAAAATGTCGAGGGGCTTAGATCTGGTAATCTAGATTTAATGTATCCCTTGCTATTCTTGAATAATGAACAGGGCAACCATGCTATTGTATCCACATTATTTGTCGTGTAGGCAATGGTAAATCTTCTAAAAATGTCCATAGAGAATGTTTGATAAAAAATTTGCATATTTTAGTCCGGTAAGTGATCCTTTGATAAAATATGGACCAATAAGTTTATAGCCGAGTATGCCCATCAAAACATTTAAACTCCATCCAGTTGATTATCCATTTGTTTAAACCAATGAGGATTTTCCGTTGACCAATAATGGGCATTTTTTGAATTCATTGATCCATTTTTCGTAAACGTTGCTTCGTCCGTAAACATTACATTGATGAAAAAGTTTTCTTTTTGAGTGAGAGCCCAATTACAAAATTCTACACGTTGATAACAGTCATTTGCGGTCAGTTCTTGAACCTTTGGTATATAATTCCAGCTTGTCTTTCGATTTCGCGAGAGCTAATGGATGGATTTATCGTAACTGCGGCTAACACTGCAATTTCGTTTTCTGCATTTGTTATTGTTTTATTACGAATTGCCTTTTTGCGTACTAATTGCCCTGTCTGGTGAAATGTTTTAAAAATATTATCAAAGGTACGACGTGATGGAGTATTTCGTTGAGGAAATCTATTTGCGTATAATCTTTATGCATGTTTAGCACTTTTCTCAGCTTCTAAATAAATTAATAAAATGTCTATCTTTTCTCCTTTAGAATACTTAATGATAAAGTAATAAATCACCGTATTGCCGTATTCACCGAATCAGAGATGTAACAGAGACTAAATTTCATAATAAGCAGAAGAGCAAGAATTATCAATGTAAAAATTTACATTTTCTGTGTTGATAATGTTTGCTCTTCTACTACATCATCACATTAAATTCATAATTTTGACTTACAGTAACGATTTCTTAACAAATTAAATCTATCCCTTAGCTCTGGCAACTCTCATAAAAAAAAATTAAAATATCTCCTAAAGTAATAATTTTTTTACATAAATAGGTTAATACTTTTTTGTAAATAATATGAAAGAGCATCAGATGATGCAATAAAAAATATATGATTCCGTTAAAAAAAATATTAATGACCTTCATATGTCATTGACACGTCCACCTAAAAGAAAAAAAGTACAATCAGTATGAGCCCCTTTTAAAGTCATTCAACTCCATGTGAAACATTGTCTGCTACGCGTAATAATAATAACGTAAATCAAGATGGTAAAATGTGGTGACTCATCCTGTATACTGAATTCCTGTATATATATAATATTATCCATTTCTGAAATAGATGCGATGAGTTACTGTAGTCACGAAGTAGCCAAAGGGTGTTTAACTGAAGTTTTATTTGTGTATAAAATTCGGTACTAATTGTAAGTACCGTGTATCTAAACGCGGTCCTCTTATTAGAGAATTTGAGATTTATTCCATTCCGTTGCCTCAGATAGATCTTTTGTTCTAAGCATTCCCAACACTTCCTAAGCAATGATAACGTTCTAGTTTTCGGTCACGTACAATTCTAGAGGATTGGCTACAGAACATCGGGCGGGCTCTTTGTTGCCACCTTGAAATCGTAACATCCACAGTACTTAACCGCGAGTTGCCTTTCAGAAATTGACGCTTAAGTCATTGCTAGATCCTAGTATCTGATAACAAAATTTAGTTACTAGCAGCTATTATTGTCTATATTATACCTTCTGATGGTTTCTACGCAAACAATTACGTCAGCAATGATACATTGTATTGCCTTTTAAAGTTAGTATCAATTTATGATTTATACTCTCTGTTCTGACCAAAAGATTCTTCAATGAAAATTCCTCTGATCATTACTTATACGCTATGAAGTGGAGAATAAAGGATTAGATTAAGGTGTAAAATAAAACACATGGTTGAGCCAAACAAAGAAACAATGCCTTTTTTATTGGCTCGTCAGG